AACGTTGCCTCTTTGAAGAGTCCTCATCTGAGGGTTCTGCTGCTCGAGATGTTGCTGGCTCTCGAGGGCTTTCAATCTCTATATAGTCCCTGGGCGGTGTCACCGGCACTGCAAGACCTGGATCCCCTGACATATCATCTCCAGTATTGGTCAAAGGTGGATTCTCTGCTGTCACATGGATTGGTCCACTAGGTAATGCAGGACCATCATCATCCACAACCTGCATACCTTCCAGCTCACCTGCAACTCCTTCACCAAGTTTCTCACGTAGAGTCAAACTGAGTGGGTCGTTGGCTGACATGTGCAACTGCTCCTCCTGCGCCTTTTGTTCATCAATTGCATATTGAATCACTGCTTCAGCATCTTTGTCATGCAATGCACTTTCTTCAATTGGTCCCAGAGGCACCTCAAACGCAACTGACTTCGGCACTGGTTTTCTCATAGTTGGCAAGATTCTTGCTCCAAACCCAGCTTTGTACTGCCATGAAAAACACCGACAATGCAAATAATACGCCATGTGACTTCTCCATTCAGTGTTGATTCTGCGCACGCTTCTCGTAAGGAGAATTGATTGTCCATCAAATGCCACATAGCTGTTTTGAATGTCAGCTTTCCCAAGAAATAACATCCTCTTCCATTTGGCAGTCGCTTTTGTGGTTGGAATCACATAGCCAAAAATTGGCTCCCCAAACTCGCACAACTCACCAGCATATGTACGACCAAAAGCCAGTTCATAAGGTGTGGCACCTCTGATAACTGAAAACCTTGAAATAAGCCATGCTGAATGTCTCAGGGCCCAACTCCAAATTGCGCTCGATGTCTCCAGCTGAATTCCAAGTCTTCCATGAACATGGTGCATCAACGTACATGCCAAAGCTCTGACTCTGCCAACAGCATTCTCTGCAAGGCTGTTGCCACCTTTGTCATATGCCACAGAGCTACTTTCACGTGTCTTAAGGCCCATGCCTTGACGTGTCTTCAGCACCAAGCGCTTCAATTGCAGTATTGAAGGTTCATTGTCGCAATGCAAAATCACTTCTGAATGCCCTAACATTTGCACAAACTTGATGATCTCCCTGTTTGCATGATCCAGCTGAGACTTCCCTTCCAAAGGGATGCATGACACAAATCCTGTATGGCTGTCCACCACTACCAGTGCAGTTATTGTATCGGGATTGCCTGAATCACCAGCCTGACCATCAGATTTTGTGAAGAAGTAGTCAAAGGATATGGTGGGCACTGCTCCTGCATGCGACTCACCTGAACGTTCATGGCGATCAGAACGTGCCCTGTGCGCAAGACATGAAGGGCACCACTGCTTGTATGGCACATGTGTCAACCTATGTTGTGACTGCTCATACTCACTAGGCACTTCTGCAGAAACTGGTGAAAGTGGATGTCGTTCCTGCTGTTCAAATGCCTCTTTTGCTGCCGCCATCACTGATTCCAACTCAAGTTTCTTTGAATGTTCAATCAAACGTTTGAAACACTTCTGCTTTGACCCTGAGCTTGAAATCCCATAGAATGAGCACCCAGCTCGTAGCGTGGCTAGCGAACTGGATTCCCTGAGAACAGTTCCATTTACGCAAACTTCATCCTCTGCAATCGGCTGCACCACAATTTGACCTTCAGGAACATCTCTCCCTTCAATGGGAGGCTCAGCATCCATCACTTCAATGTCATGGTCTGCATCTGCTTCAACAGGAAAAACTTCATCTGGCTCATCAACCAATGAAAATCCCATTGCACGTGGATCCTTCTCTGATTCTGTGATGATCGTGATAATGTTTCTACGTCCAACCATGTCATGAAACTGAGCATCCAACTGCACAAGTCCCTCAAGCATTTCACAGAGTTCCATCACATACCACCTTTTGTTGTTTCCTTCAACCAACGTTGTCCTGTAAGAACGTCCATTCAAATCTGGTCTTACAAGCAATGGATCTTGATGGTGATCTGCATAGTGATGCCCAATGCCACAACCGTTTGAATCCAACTGCCAGCCTACTGAGCCATTGACGATGCTCTCATCAATTTCTGCCTGGATAGCCCTGACATGAAAACTGCCTGGAGAAATGCAATGTTCAGTCAAGACTCTGATGCTGCCATGCACAACCATTGATTTGTTCTGCAACTCTAAGGGAACTGCCGCGCCTGCTATGCTGTGAACAAGCATTTGTTGGCCGCCATCAATGCCCCAACCGTTTTCAAGCATTTTTCCAAAACTCAATATTGGTTGAGACACCCTGTCTGAAATCGCAACCGTTTCACGTAGCAAAATGACACGTCCAGTCATGTCCCTCAAAGCTATCTCCATGTCCTTTGTGGCTTCAATTGGAATTTCAACTCCCTGTGCATCAACCAGGCGTCCAACTGAGGCTACAGCAGGTGTTCCTTTCTCCAACAGGCTAGATGGAAAGATTGAGGCGTCTGCCCCACTGTCCAACAAGATATCATGCAGCTCTTCCAAACGCTCACTGGCCATGCTGTCATGTGAAATCGTACGCACAGCACCACTGAAAAAACTTTCATCACAAGCGTCCTTCAAAGAGTCACCAATGTAATGGTAAATTGCATGAACACTTCCATGAAAACTGGCAGGGCTTGAATCACGCATGTCAAACACCAATCCATTGTCACTTGAACCAGTTGGCAACTCACAAATCCTAGCAACTTTGTACTGAGTCGACGACGATGGAGGCACTGGATGCTGTTGTTGAGAAACACTGGACATCCCACCAAGTGAAGAAGATGGTGATCCCTGAACTGCCGTGGAACCTGCAGCTGCTTCTGAACCAACCTGTCTCACCTGACCAGAATGCCAGCAGTCTTTAGCCATGTGACCAGTGCGTCCACATACGTAACATGCTCTTGAGTCTCCTTTTCCTTTGCCCTTGGATCGATCGTTTTGCAAACTGACGTTTCCCTTTGAACCCTTCTGATTCTGATCTGAAGGCTTTCCTTTTCCTTTCCCATCTTTGTTCTTTCCTTTTCCTTTTGACTTTCCCTTTGAATTGTCTTTTGATTTTCCCTTCGAGCCTTTTGACTTGCCCTTGGACTGCACACGGTCTATTTCCATTGGAACTGGACCTTCAGCAGCACTCATTGCACTGTCTGTACCCAGCACCATCTGTTCAGACCATTTTGTTGTGCTCTCGAATCGTAGAGCAAAACCATCTCACGCACCTTTGCATATGTGGTCGATTCATTGACCTGAAGTTGTAGCCATACCTTCAGCTGTCCAGTCAATGATCTCATCAAAATGGCCGTCTTGAGATCTTCATTGAGTTTTGTCCCAAGCTTCTCGTACTCTGCAAAGGCATGCTCCAAGCGCAACAACTGCTGCATCAAAGAAAGCTTACCTGTAAACGCAGGCCAATTCATGATGACATTCAAAAGCCCCATGCTTCTGTTCTTTGAAACCGGCTCATTCTGCTGAATCAACATCCGGTATGCTTCCAGCCCGTTTGAACCTGTCACGTTCCTAACCACCAGCAAAGGCCTCTGACGAAGCAATGATGAAAGAAGGCTGTACAGAAAATGATTTCTCTGCCGCTCTGTATCTGTAAAATCCACAGGATCAACAGCTTGATTGGGGTTTGCGCGCAGTTGTTCTATATCGTCTGCAAATTTTGCATCTATGGAGGCAACATACTGCTCGAATGCCCATGACCACGCACGCCATGCAGCTATTTCACTTTCTCTATTGGTATGCTCAAACGTTGGTGGCTTTGGCAACAGTCTCCACCATTGCTTGCTGTCATCAGTTGAAGTTCTGGAAACGCCTTCAACTGCTCTGGTAGCTGCTTGAGCAGCTAGGGCAGCTGCTTCAGCTGCTTGCACCATACGTCGAGCCACCTCCATGCCATCCACACCTTCAACACCAGGTGTAGCTGCTACTGCAGCTGGTGATCCATCAACAGAAGGACTACCCACCTGCGGTGAATCCATGTCCCCAATCTCAGCCTCCTCCTCAAAGAAATTGTCAAAGGAAAATCAAATCTCACACTTTCGTTCTGCTGCAAATTCTCTGTCAACGCCAGGAAAACTGTACCCACAACCCAGCACCTGTATTTTCCAGAACCTGTGTTTAGACCTTAGGCCTACCAGTATATATCCAGAATTCCAGTGTTTGCCAGTTGTATTCTAAATCCCAGCTGTCGTCCAAATGCAGCTACCTCCAGAAAGGTTCAGCACCAGGAAAGCGTCTGCCCGCAAGCGGGCTCCGCTACCATGCAAAGACTCAGGCGAAAACGCTGCAGTCTATTTTCACTCGTGCCAAAAGGGTCTCACAAGTTTCAACTGCACATGCTGTTCATGTCAGTCTATGAAGTGAAATGACAAATGCAACTCTCTTATCGATTTGTGCGTGTCATCCTGGCACATGTGAGTGGGCTCCAAAACTTTCCACAATTTTGAAATCCGTGTACATGAGGGTTACAGTTGCTGTTACAACATGTCACTTTGGACTGTGTACATATCATGGCACGATGCATTTGGGCTCCTTACAGGGCCCTTGAGCTAGTCATGAGTGATACAGTGGAAAAAATACAGCTAATGGGCCACAGTTGCTGAGATTACAATTGGAGAGATTGTACATTGGATTTGAACAACCATCATCATCATCATCATCATCACAATCATCCTCATCATATCTCATCATATCCATACCTCTTAGACAAAACAGGTTTGGGAAAAAAATGTTTCAGCTGTTCTGGCCAGTGTCAAAACGTTCAAGCCAGCTTGGGTCATGAATTGAAAAATTGGCCTCATTGTCGTATTTTGCGCTGCCGTTTGGATAGCGTCAAAACTGTCAAATTCAAATCAACATGGTGGTTCGATTCGACTATTCGTTTCATGCTATGGCTATGCCATACCGTAGGTCCCGTAGGTGTAGTTCTTGGGGATCCGTGAAAGTCGTCACATATCCTACATTTTTTTTTTGGTTGCAATGTTTCTCAGACAGCACATCCAACATTTCACTGTTCATTGCCACTGTGCCTGAAAGCGTGATGTCATGGCCGTTGGTTCGACCGTCTTTAGATGATTTGCTGCGAGAGCTACTTGACATGCATTTGGGTGCTGCGGGGGGGATGAACGATAAACAAATTGATTGCGGCATTTTCTTTGGCAAAAAATCAAAATTTTCAAAACAACTTCAGAAAACTGTCCACGCTGGTTTGAACTTTGACCAGATGACAATGAGGCACCGGGGAATCATCTCAGCTCTTCGGCGAAGCCTTGCGGTGGAAGTTGAGGTGCGACAGTGCGAGATCGGCTGGATTCCCGTAACATTCGTGATTTTGGTGTGCCTTGAGCTCAAACTGGATTACATCTGACTATAATGCATATCCAAAAGGAAATGCCCATGGGAAGAAAAATCAGAAACGTGTTTGCCAGGCCCAGGTCGATGATGTGTGGCTCTTGCGATATGCATTGAGTTTCAAGGATTGCGTCGGGGGATGTCGCGGGGCATGTTTGAGTTGTGTTTGTAGTTGAGAATTGGGAAGGATCCTCAATAATATGGTACAAAATTGGATATGTACGCCCAAATTTACAATGAAAGTACTCTTGTGAGATTTTGTTTCCAGCACCTGAATATCATCGAATTCATGCCACAGAGAACATGACAAGATGAACTATAGGTTGCATCAAATTTTGATTTGTTTGTTGATTTTGTATTTCATCATTTTGTTGGACAATTATGTCGGACAATTTAGATAATTCATTGATATTTACTGGTTTGCCATGTTTTTCTCAGCCAAAAAACCGCTTTAGAATATGCCCCAGACAGGACGACCTCCCAGCTGCCATCCAAGCTGCCAAAGCAGCGATCACATGGCGAAGGGACCCGGAGGGAAGGGCTATCCTGTGGAACGTAAATAAAAAACAAACATCTCATGAAATCTCTAGTTTTTAGATTTTTTAGGGGACACTGATAAATATCAACGTACTAATGTACAGTATTGTACAGGTTTCTTGAAATGAAACATTTTTTTTTGTGAAAGATGACGATTCCACAGTTCCCAAATATAAATTTGGTTCAACAACTGTTTCGAAGCTTGCATGCTTGTCTACTGGAGGGTGTTTAAATGGTATTTCAACACTAGCTCCAATATTTTGGATTTCGGACATCATTTGATATGTTGCAAGACCACCGTCAGACATTTCAGACCTGGATTTTGCTGACCGAAGCTGCACCAGGAGAACTCCAATCTGGTTCAAGCCGCAGCAGCACGTGAAGTTGCTTGGTTGAGGCGATGACAAGATATGAAATCCACAAAGATTCCTCTTTACGACTTGTTCCGTGTGAGACTACTTGGGAGTTCAAAACAGCAACGAAATCAATGGGCCCTGTCATTTTCCTGCTGTGGCCCTATTGCCGCATCAGGCAAGATGCAGCGCCAGATTGTGAGTTTAGACTAATAGCTGGCTTATGCTTGACTTCTGCTAGCATGAACCACTTTTAGACTATGCCAAAACATGTTCCTTGACTGAACTGATGAGCATCCCATGACGGTTTATGGTGATTGTGGACGTTCTGCCCAGACAGGATGACATTCTACACATGAACGCTTGGTTGCTGACTCTAGTGATGAGTCAACAGAAGGATCGATAGGTCTGACTGGGGCTACATCTTGGTTAACATGTGATACGGATCATCTCTGCCTTTGCTCTGCCATTTGCCTGCTGCAGTTCTTTCTCTGTACTAGGTCAGATGCAGTGCAACAGAGGTTTTGCAGCGTACTGGCTGGAGTTTCTGCGAAGTGGAGCTGCAGTTATCTTGTTCTTGCAGATATGGGTACCCATCTGATCATATGAGGTGATGGATTTCAATTCTTGTCAGATGTTTGATGGTTGGATTGGGTTTCCTTGATTTCCTTATCTACTTTGTGTTACTGCACTAGGATGACACTACACATGAACGCTTGGTTGCTGACTTTTGTGATGAGTCAACAGAAGGATTGAAGCTCTGAGTGCGGCAAACTGCTTGGAAAGTGACACAATGAGTAGCATAGTATTCAATCTGAATAGCATGGTATTCAATCGGAGTCTAAGTGGGGTAGTATATATACTAGTAGTATTCATAGTTCAGTCTCCTTCGATCTTTCTCCATTGATTTGTGTCATCTGGGCCCTGTCATTTTCCTGCTGTGGCCCTATTGTCGCATCAGGCAAGATGCAGCGCCAGATTGTGAGTTTAGACTAATAGCTGGCTTATGCTTGACTTCTGCTAGCATGAACCACTTTTAGACTATGCCAAAACATGTTCCTTGACTGAACTGATGAGCATCCCATGACGGTTTATGGTGATTGTGGACGTTCTGCCCAGACAGGATGACATTCTACACATGAACGCTTGGTTGCTGACTCTAGTGATGAGTCAACAGAAGGATCGATAGGTCTGACTGGGGCTACATCTTGGTTAACATGTGATACGGATCATCTCTGCCTTTGCTCTGCCATTTGCCTGCTGCAGTTCTTTCTCTGTACTAGGTCAGATGCAGTGCAACAGAGGTTTTGCAGCGTACTGGCTGGAGTTTCTGCGAAGTGGAGCTGCAGTTATCTTGTTCTTGCAGATATGGGTACCCATCTGATCATATGAGGTGATGGATTTCAATTCTTGTCAGATGTTTGATGGTTGGATTGGGTTTCCTTGATTTCCTTATCTACTTTGTGTTACTGCACTAGGATGACACTACACATGAACGCTTGGTTGCTGACTTTTGTGATGAGTCAACAGAAGGATTGAAGCTCTGAGTGCGGCAAACTGCTTGGAAAGTGACACAATGAGTAGCATAGTATTCAATCTGAATAGCATGGTATTCAATGGGAGTCTAAGTGGGGTAGTATATATACTAGTAGTATTCATAGTTCAGTCTCCTTCGATCTTTCTCCATTGATTTGTGTCATCTGGGCCCTGTCATTTTCCTGCTGTGGCCCTATTGTCGCATCAGGCAAGATGCAGCGCCAGATTGTGAGTTTAGACTAATAGCTGGCTTATGCTTGACTTCTGCTAGCATGAACCACTTTTAGACTATGCCAAAACATGTTCCTTGACTGAACTGATGAGCATCCCATGACGGTTTATGGTGATTGTGGACGTTCTGCCCAGACAGGATGACATTCTACACATGAACGCTTGGTTGCTGACTCTAGTGATGAGTCAACAGAAGGATCGATAGGTCTGACTGGGGCTACATCTTGGTTAACATGTGATACGGATCATCTCTGCCTTTGCTCTGCCATTTGCCTGCTGCAGTTCTTTCTCTGTACTAGGTCAGATGCAGTGCAACAGAGGTTTTGCAGCGTACTGGCTGGAGTTTCTGCGAAGTGGAGCTGCAGTTATCTGGTTCTTGCAGATATGGGTACCCATCTGATCATATGAGGTGATGGATTTCAATTCTTGTCAGATGTTTGATGGTTGGATTGGGTTTCCTTGATTTCCTTATCTACTTTGTGTTACTGCACTAGGATGACACTACACATGAACGCTTGGTTGCTGACTTTTGTGATGAGTCAACAGAAGGATTGAAGCTCTGAGTGCGGCAAACTGCTTGGAAAGTGACACAATGAGTAGCATAGTATTCAATCTGAATAGCATGGTATTCAATCGGAGTCTAAGTGGCGTAGTATTCATAGTTCAGTCTCCTTCGATCTTTCTCCATTGATTTGTGTCATCTGGGCCCTGTCATTTTCCTGCTGTGGCCCTATTGCCGCATCAGGCAAGATGCAGCGCCAGATTGTGAGTTTAGACTAATAGCTGGCTTATGCTTGACTTCTGCTAGCATGAACCACTTTTAGACTATGCCAAAACATGTTCCTTGAATGAACTGATGAGCATCCCATGACGGTTTATGGTGATTGTGGACGTTCTGCCCAGACAGGATGACATTCTACACATGAACGCTTGGTTGCTGACTCTAGTGATGAGTCAACAGAAGGATCGATAGGTCTGACTGGGGCTACATCTTGGTTAACATGTGATACGGATCATCTCTGCCTTTGCTCTGCCATTTGCCTGCTGCAGTTCTTTCTCTGTACTAGGTCAGATGCAGTGCAACAGAGGTTTTGCAGCGTACTGGCTGGAGTTTCTGCGAAGTGGAGCTGCAGTTATCTGGTTCTTGCAGATATGGGTACCCATCTGATCATATGAGGTGATGGATTTCAATTCTTGTCAGATGTTTGATGGTTGGATTGGGTTTCCTTGATTTCCTTATCTACTTTGTGTTACTGCACTAGGATGACACTACACATGAACGCTTGGTTGCTGACTTTTGTGATGAGTCAACAGAAGGATTGAAGCTCTGAGTGCGGCAAACTGCTTGGAAAGTGACACAATGAGTAGCATAGTATTCAATCTGAATAGCATGGTATTCAATCGGAGTCTAAGTGGCGTAGTATTCATAGTTCAGCCTCCTTCGATCTTTCTCCATTGATTTGTGTCATCTGGGCCCTGTCATTTTCCTGCTGTGGCCCTATTGCCGCATCAGGCAAGATGCAGCGCCAGATTGTGAGTTTAGACTAATAGCTGGCTTATGCTTTAGTTCTGCTAGCATGAACACTTTTAGACTATGCCAAACATGTTCCCTTGAATGAACTGATGGGCATCCCATGACGGTTTAATTGGTGCTGGTGGACGTTCCGCCCAGACAGGAAATGACATTCTACACATGAACGCTTGGTTGCTGACTCTAGTGATGAGTCAACAGAAGGATCGATAGGTCTGACTGGGGCTACATCTTGGTTAACATGTGATACGGATCATCTCTGCCTTTGCTCTGCCATTTGCCTGCTGCAGTTCTTTCTCTGTACTAGGTCAGATGCAGTGCAACAGAGGTTTTGCAGCGTACTGGCTGGAGTTTCTGCGAAGTGGAGCTGCAGTTATCTGGTTCTTGCAGATATGGGTACCCATCTGATCATATGAGGTGATGGATTTCAATTCTTGTCAGATGTTTGATGGTTGGATTGGGTTTCCTTGATTTCCTTATCTACTTTGTGTTACTGCACTAGGATGACACTACACATGAACGCTTGGTTGCTGACTTTTGTGATGAGTCAACAGAAGGATTGAAGCTCTGAGTGCGGCAAACTGCTTGGAAAGTGACACAATGAGTAGCATAGTATTCAATCTGAATAGCATGGTATTCAATCGGAGTCTAAGTGGCGTAGTATTCATAGTTCAGCCTCCTTCGATCTTTCTCCATTGATTTGTGTCATCTGGGCCCTGTCATTTTCCTGCTGTGGCCCTATTGCCGCATCAGGCAAGATGCAGCGCCAGATTGTGAGTTTAGACTAATAGCTGGCTTATGCTTTAGTTCTGCTAGCATGAATCACTTTTAGACTATGCCAAAACATGTTCCTTGAATGAACTGATGGGCATCCCATGACGGTTTATGGTGATTGTGGACGTTCTGCCCAGACAGGATGACATTCTACACATGAACGCTTGGTTGCTGACTCTAGTGATGAGTCAACAGAAGGATCGATAGGTCTGACTGGGGCTACATCTTGGTTAACATGTGATACGGATCATCTCTGCCTTTGCTCTGCCATTTGCCTGCTGCAGTTCTTTCTCTGTACTAGGTCAGATGCAGTGCAACAGAGGTTTTGCAGCGTACTGGCTGGAGTTTCTGCGAAGTGGAGCTGCAGTTATCTTGTTCTTGCAGATATGGGTACCCATCTGATCATATGAGGTGATGGATTTCAATTCTTGTCAGATGTTTGATGGTTGGATTGGGTTTCCTTGATTTCCTTATCTACTTTGTGTTACTGCACTAGGATGACACTACACATGAACGCTTGGTTGCTGACTTTTGTGATGAGTCAACAGAAGGATTGAAGCTCTGAGTGCGGCAAACTGCTTGGAAAGTGACACAATGAGTAGCATAGTATTCAATCTGAATAGCATGGTATTCAATCGGAGTCTAAGTGGCGTAGTATTCATAGTTCAGTCTCCTTCGATCTTTCTCCATTGATTTGTGTCATCTGGGCCCTGTCATTTTCCTGCTGTGGCCCTATTGCCGCATCAGGCAAGATGCAGCGCCAGATTGTGAGTTTAGACTAATAGCTGGCTTATGCTTTAGTTCTGCTAGCATGAATCACTTTTAGACTATGCCAAAACATGTTCCTTGAATGAACTGATGAGCATCCCATGACGGTTTATGGTGATTGTGGACGTTCTGCCCAGACAGGATGACATTCTACACATGAACGCTTGGTTGCTGACTCTAGTGATGAGTCAACAGAAGGATCGATAGGTCTGACTGGGGCTACATCTTGGTTAACATGTGATACGGATCATCTCTGCCTTTGCTCTGCCATTTGCCTGCTGCAGTTCTTTCTCTGTACTAGGTCAGATGCAGTGCAACAGAGGTTTTGCAGCGTACTGGCTGGAGTTTCTGCGAAGTGGAGCTGCAGTTATCTTGTTCTTGCAGATATGGGTACCCATCTGATCATATGAGGTGATGGATTTCAATTCTTGTCAGATGTTTGATGGTTGGATTGGGTTTCCTTGATTTCCTTATCTACTTTGTGTTACTGCACTAGGATGACACTACACATGAACGCTTGGTTGCTGACTTTTGTGATGAGTCAACAGAAGGATTGAAGCTCTGAGTGCGGCAAACTGCTTGGAAAGTGACACAATGAGTAGCATAGTATTCAATCTGAGTAGCATGGTATTCAATCGGAGTCTGAGTGGCGTAGTATTCATAGTCCAGTCTGGCTCGATCTTTCTCCATTGATTTGTGTCATCTGGGCCCTGTCATTTTCCTGCTGTGGCCCTATTGCCGCATCAGGCAAGATGCAGCGCCAGATTGTGAGTTTAGACTAATAGCTGGCTTATGCTTGACTTCTGCTAGCATGAACCACTTTTAGACTATGCCAAAATATGTTCCTTGAATGAACTGATGGGCATCCCATGATGGACGGTTTATGGTGATTGTGGACGTTCTGCCCAGACAGGATGACATTCTACACATGAACGCTTGGTTGCTGACTCTAGTGATGAGTCAACAGAAGGATCGATAGGTCTGACCTTGGCTCTGCCAATCCCGATTCATTCTGGATTGAATTTTGGGATGGGCGAACTTTACCTGGCTGAATTTCCAGCATTTGGTCGCTGCAAACCCTTGACGTGTTTTTTCTCACCTGAGGCACCTAGCGAACTGACGGAGCAGGAGCTGCAGGGGAGTCCTAGGCACATCACAACAGGATGTTCACTTGGGCGCATGTTCATGTTCTGCCGATGGCATTGAGAGAAGTCTAGGGTTTGCTGATTCATCAAACAATTCACCATTTTCATGCAAACAGGCGACACTTTGAACATCATTGAATCCTGAAGTCCATTTGCATCATTGAACATCGTTTTCCGCTTCTAAAGTCTACCATTCTCTTCGGCCTTGAATTCCCTTCGCATCAAATGTGGCTTGGCCCAAAGACCAGGGGGGTGGGCCGAAGAGTGGAAATATCGAGAGTTGCAGTCGTCACGAAGGAGCTTGCAGCCATCCATCAGTGTTTTGCTCTTGCCTCAGAGATCCATTGGTGTCCAAGTGCCGTTTGTCGATGGTCCTAGGTGGCAGCCTACTATTGCTGTACACGTTTCGGGGACTGGCCTTGTAGCTACCGCCCTTTTCCAGACTTGCTCATCAGTTGCATCAGTTGTGGCCGTAGAAGATCATTGAAGAACTTGATAAGATGTCAAGATATATCATACGTAACGTAATACATTTAATACATATCAAGATATCACAGAGAAACTGTCCCCAGCTTCAAAGATCTTCCAAGATCTTCCAAGTGCCAAGATGTATCAAGATGTATCAAGATGTTTTTTGTGCTGCAGTGCAGGATCCCGTTTTCATTTCTCGGCTGTGCGCTTACAATGTGAATCACCTCATGGAAGTCGTCTCAGAGGCGGAGCCTCAGAAAATGTCAAGAGATCCAGAAAAGTTCTGCAAAAATCACTGGGTTTCTAGCTGAAAACTGAGAAAGATTCACAATTCATAGACTTTTTGGGAATCAAGCATTCTTTTGGGAGGCGAAGCTGGAGCTCTGGTTCAACTTTGTGAATGAATGTGCCTGGCAATACTGCGAGGTGGGCACACAAAATTTCAACATTTTGCATCTGAGTTTTGCATCGTTTTGGGAACGCTGCGAGGCAGAGACTCTTCAAAGAAGATACTTTGTGATGCAGATCAATATCCAGGCATACTGTCAGAAGCAGGGCACTAAGATTCTCATCGATGTGGCTGCCGTGGCCAGCTTCAGGACGTGCACGGTGTGAAGATGGTGTCTCGGCCCAACTGAGTGGTCGCAATGGCGGCAACGTCAAAAGTTGTAGACTGTGAAACTACTGTTGGGTGGCTACGTAGATGATGGGTAGATGATAGGTAGATAGACAACCCACGAACCAACTCTTGCCTCACTCGGAGTGTGACTGAGATGCAGAACCGCTCCTTCCTGCGCGCCTTGGGCAACAGCTCGATGCTTGGCTGCAAGGCTTCTGTCAGCAGCTACCACGACAGCTTGGATGGTGAGGGTTCCAAATTTTTGGGCTTAGCTCGCATCTAAAGCTGTTGTTCTTTGAGCAGTTTGCATGACCAGCTTGTGCCGAGGAAGGTCAACGACTGGCTGCGGCCGTCGGGAACCAAAGAGCTAGAGAGTGGTTTCTGGCTACCGCTGTGGGGCAAGTCATCCCCCTGATTTTGCAGATGTAACTGGTGAGGTTGTGTCAATAGCAGCTGAAGTTATGGAATCTTATGGAAAGCATGTAGCAGTGCAGCTACTTCTGTGGCACAGGCAACTCTTTGGCAAGACCTACATTCTTAATCCACCACGGTGGCTGTCGATGGTGCCTTGGCAGCCGCTTCGTGGAACACCACGACGACTCGACGATGACTCGACGAGTTCGTTCTGAGGCCTCACGCTTGGCAGGAGGACTCATGAGCAAAAAGTCGCTGGAGAAGGCGTGAGCGATCATCATTTTGGCCATTTTGGTCTCTCGGCGACCTGGAAATACTGAATACTTGGCAGATCCCAGAAGTTACTGCTTAAGAGTGGACAAAATCTGGCCGTGCAGGTCTGGGTACACCCCACCAAAGTAGGTGAAGGTCGTGGGTTCGGAGCTGAGTGTTGCACCTCTGCACCTGAATCACAGTAGATTCAGTAGATAGAGGTAGTATTTATCAATCCAAAGCTACCTATGTCTGCAACAATTGTCTAAATTAATCATTATCATTAATCACTATTTATCTGTATATATATATAATACACATATGTACAGATAAGAACTGAACTTCATATCTATATCATCGTATGGTATTATTTAGTAACCTGATGGATGCAAACCACTGCAATTCATCCCCATCCATCCCCATCCAATCCATGAATCCCAAATCCAATCAGAACGGTGCATTGGTTGCAGCGACCCAAGGCTTTGCTTTTTTGCTCAGCAACTCTTTGACGCTGACACGGTGCGGGGACGAATTCTGGTGACCAAGACTGGTTGGGTTAATATTTTTGGGATGGGTTGAAACCACCAACCAGAAGAGCAATTTTGACTTTTGGCATCTTTTGGCCGATTTGTCATGTCCAATTTTGAATGCTGTTCGCATGTCAGGCACTACCGAAGTTCTTGGGTGGCAATGGGGATGCGGATGAAGGCATATCGTCCCGCTTCAACATCTTTGAGAAATGCGTGAAATCCAAGATTGATTTCAAAGATTTCCCAGTTTCAGCAGTTTCTCTAATTGAACAGACATGGACACAACAACAATTCATTCTGGCCGCGCGCAGTCTTTCCCATGGCACCCCGTGAAGCGGCCGTGGTGCAAAGATCTGCACTGCCTATCCTGGTGCGGCCCGAGATGGTTGCAGGAAATCATCGTACCAAAGTTGGAATAAGTTGGCCCAAAGTGGCTTAAATCCATCCGTGAACTGTGACAGGATAGAAACACATCGTAAAACATCCAAACTTACGAAAACACGACATTTATGATGGTGGGGGATTGTTTTGTTTTTTCTGTAGTGAAAGGGGTCAGGATGCTGAGGTAAGTAGAAATAATGAGGAGGTCATAGCCAACATGTCACTGCCGACAAGTCACTGAGTTTGGTGCCTCTGTGCCTCTTGGAACAGGCTGGTTTGCCCGTGCAGGCAGGGCACGAAGCGACGTGGATTATCCGATTATTATTCCTTTATTACCGACAGCTTTGCAGCTTGTCCACCTAGAGATTCATCGGCAACATACCAACATGATCCAAAATGCAGATGTGGTGATGTCCCACGCTGTCGTACCAGGCTGCAACGGTGTCTTTCAGCGAGCACTGGAGAGAGGACGTGGATAGCTACCTCTCAAGAAAGCAGGAAGACTATGTGATCTATGATAGGCAGATGGGGGCACCTGACATGGGCGTAAAATGAACCGCCTTGTAAATCCGAATAATCCGATTTCCAGCAAAGTCGCAAGATCTTGTAAGTCCGGTTAGTCCGGTTTCTTTCCTCCCAACAGACCTAAAATGTCTTCACAGCCCTGGCTCAGGGACGGCCACGATGTCGCTTTGGTTGAAGAGACCGTGTCTCGTGATCGCTTTCCCTTGCAGATCCGACGGCAGGCCGAGCCAGGGACATGAAAGAAATGGGCTACTGAGCGGCTACTGAGCGGCTACTGAGTCTATCATTCATTTGGCCTGCTGTGATTGATGAGTGACGTCGGCCCTTGAGTCAAACGCTGAGATGTATGCGACAGGTGTAGTGCAAGTGAGGGGCATGCCTCTTTCTTGCAGGACACTATGCTATCCAGTTCCGCTTTTTTCTCCAGTTCGGCTTTTGCTTCAGCAGTGGGCACTAGATCCATGGAGGGCTCCAAGCAGGCAGAGTTGAGTATGCTTTGGTGAAAGCTCCTGGATTTTGTTTCAAGGGAAAAGCAACCAAAATCTATCAAAATCCACTTTTTTTTGGCCAACTTTCAACTTTCCTAAGTTTTTGGCATTTTTTTTTGGGGAAGGAAATCCTCTCGAGCGGATTCACTCAGCTGTCCATGGCTCTTGTGTGCACCTTTGCAGGGATCGCAGATGGCAATGTCGATGTGTTCGGCCTGGTGCCTCAGTGCAGTGGCAGCCCTTGTAGATACGTGTGGCAGTGTGTCAAAACCTTATACCGCTGGTGAACATCAAAATAGCTGGTAAATGGATGTTCATTCCCCAAAAAATGGTATTAATAGATATTGATCCATACCCATGTAGATACGTGTAGATACAACCGACATACTGAGACATACTGAGACACGAGCAGCGGAAGCTGTTTGTGCGGAATTTTGGACATGATCTCCAGTTGGCAAGGCTGTCACAGCTCTGGAGTTCCCAGTGCAGGCCAGCCTGAGCATGCTGGGCTTGTGGTTGTTTGACGTTGAGCCCGTTTGAGGTGGCTGATTTATTCACCCAAAGCTGAATTTCGCCGATTTTGTGTTTTAGCCAGAGCCCCTTAGAGCCTTAGAGAGGTCCCTGATTGTCAAGGCTTTGTGCACCACATGGGCTGATCCATCTTCGATGAACATGTTCTTCCCCTGTCAGTGGAGAGGTAGTTGCTCGGGTCGCCTCCACTGGGGACATCTCACCGCCTGTTCGGATGGTACACTTGACACATGGTAGGAGCCGCCGCGGCGGTCTTGGTGCCGACGTGCCCGGAGACCCAAATTGGAGATTGACCGATTGACCAGTTGCAGATTTGGAAAGCCACAGAACCGCAGAGCCATGCAGAATCATGCAGAGACCATGCTCACTTTGACCAATTTCCCGAAAGCTAAGGTTTGTGCTTTCTTTGGCAGACGTGAGGCGTCAGGGGAGTTACCCTATAAGTTCAAGCTATCTTGCGCCTTAACTTCTGGCTCGAAGAGAACAGCTTCAGCGTCAATTGATCAGATTTTGGGCTGATGATATGGGACTTGATCTTTGAAACCGATGCTTCCGCTGGGAGGCACCTCTTCTCCGCTGAGCGTGGCCACGTTTTGCTTCTTTGCCTGTGATGTTTTTTGGCTTATTTTGCAGAGTTTTTTTCACTTTTTTGCCAGTCTTTTTCGAACGCTGGGTATTGCATCACTGTACAAATTTAAACGCACAACTGCCAACATCTACCAACGCTTTCCAGGAACAAACTGCTGTTTCATGCGCCTTTGAAACCAAGCTTGAAATCGGCAGTTCGATAGTTCAACGTCCCAAAGGCGGGCTGAAAATTGGCCTCGAACCTTTGTAAGACGATGTGAGACGATGTGAGACGATGTGAGACGCTTGGACAGGTCTTGGAAGTTCAACAGCTGAAAGCCAGTGCCTCTCTGTGCTTGTCTTTTGGACGATTCCGCCAAACTTAATGATCTGAATGTAGGCCTTACAGCTTTGACTGATGAACACATGATCCAGGTCCCGTATGATGTGAAGCGGAAGTGTTTCACGGTTCCATCTGACATGCTCTGCATAAATTCGGGCAATAAGACTTGCCGACATATCATCACTCCAGTGGCGACCTTTCAAGTTTGCAGATGTGATGCGCACAGCCATCGGGCTCAGGAGGAAGGGCCCTCTCCATTTGCAAGCTGTGTGCAGCGCATCTTTTGGGAATGATCTTGGTCATCTTGAGTCAAAAACAATGGCATTTTTAGGATTCGTAGCTAGTTGTGTCGCAGATATCTCCCAGTTTAAAACAAAAAAGAAAAATAGATTAATATAGATTTATTATATTCCCATTTCATTCTTGCAAGGAAACCACAACATATTTTGTTTAATTTTCAACCCGCAGAATTCGGGTGGCCCTTTCAAACGTTGCCTGGCGCGACATCCTGGAACGAGGAAAAAAACGCGTTTCAGCCTCAGGATGGACCATGGATTGAAATTGGGACGATTATATATATATATATATATTATTATTACTATTTACAATATGATATGGCAATATACAACAGATGTGCAGACCTTTTTGGCAGATCAGTGACACCAGTGTTTGATGGTGAAAGCTCTTGCTCATGCAGCCCTGCAATGCTGTAGTGTTTCGGCTAAGGTGCAATTTCAAGTGCACTGTTCTTCATATAAATATATTGAGTTGATTTGCTTTGCAATGTTGCTGAACAATGTCTTGGTGATGGTTCTTTGGTTCCTCTTCGCGGTGGCAGTGTCCCATGAATCTTCGAGTTGCGTGGGTTGCATGGAGGAGAACATGCTCCTACAGGTGGTGAAGGAGCAGCAGCTGGACATGGCTTCCTGGCAGTACCGTCCTGTCCGGCGGCATCGGAACGGCAGGTTCCGCCGGTTCAGGCGCTATGGCGCGAAGACCACGGAGAGGATTACCAGCACCAGCGCCACCAGCACCACCACCAGCATCAGCAGTACCAGTCTAGTGTGCGGTGGCAATGCAGGTAATGGGCAAGCCCAGATACTTTTCGAAGATTCCGGTCCCCTCCAAAATCCCGTCACGCTTACTTTTGTCCCAGCGAACTCCAATTGTTTGTGCGTGGGCGGCACTGGCAATGATGCTCTTGTACCAGGCTACTTGTCCGTTGAAGTGCGTGGATTTTCAAATCCTTTCGAAATCGGCTTCATCTCAATCTCTAGCCCCAACGGAACCGAGATAACCTTGCAAGCAGCTCTCTTCGGAGACCTATCTGCCGGCACTGTGGCCTTTAATGGCTTCTCAGCAGTTGGGGATTGGACCATCAAAGTGCTGGATGACAACCGCAGCCTTGTTACCCAAAACGCTTCCGCAGCGTCTTTGCGGTTTGGTCTGCAAGATTGCAATCGCATCTCACCGGCTGCTGATTGCTTCGGCAACTTTGCGGATGGAAGAGTTGGGCTCTTCTCCAATCGGTCCCTGGTGGGCATCAATCTTTCCTCTACCGGGACCGTTGTGCAATTCCATGCAGATTTACCTCCTTCATGTTGCCTCACAACTGTCAGCCCATCCGGTACCTCCGCCCTCCTTTACTTTCCATTCAGCAACTCTCTCGAAAGTGGTGGACTTGTGCGTGCTGATGGTCGCAGCCCGGAGCCAGGCAATGCTGAGTTCAACCTGACTGAACTTGTCGATGATGGTGACCAGGACGTCTTGCTGGTGAACCCCATCCCCGAAATTGCCGGTAATTTCGCCGCTGGACTATGGAATTTCAACATTTCCACGAGCGGTTTTGATGCAGTCATTGGCTATAATGACCAATCTGTTCCATTCGATCCACTCTTAGGGCTTTCTGTGGAGCCTTGCCCATAGGATGCTGCAGCTGAGCTCCTCTCCGCAGCTGGAAAAGCCGTGATGCGCGAGCAGCTTAATCTTGGAGGATCATCCTACGGTCCTCGCAACTGGTAACGGGAACCCTTTTTACATATTGTGATCGTAAATCCCAGATATTTTTTTTACATATTTTGAGATATTTTGAGTATGTTACCGCCCAAACATGGATAAATTAAACTATGGTTACTAACCTACTACACCTACTATAATACACAAGCGGAACTGGGTCATCATTTTTGGGTTTCGATAGTTGATTTTTGGGAAATTTCATCAAAAAACAGTGAAATCTAGAATTTTAAATTATGTGTATTTTTGCAGGTTTCAAACACTTAGCATGCCCACGAAACCGAGTCATTCTAAGTGTCTAAGATTATCGTTTTGGAAACCTGGGAGGCATTCTAAGTTTCACTTGTGGCCAATACACCTACTACACCTACTACTACTACGACAACAACAACTACTATTACTACTACTACTACTGCTACTACTACTACTCCTACTACTCCTACTACTCCTACTACTCCTACTACTCCTACTACTCCTACTACTCCTACTACTCCTACTACTCCTACTACTCCTACTACTCCTACTACTCCTACTACTCCTACTACTCCTACTACTCCTACTACTACTACTCCTACTACTCCTACTACTCCTACTACCTACTTGCCAGCCTGTGCCGAGGAAGGTCAACGACTGGCTGCGGCCGTCGGGAACCAAAGAGCTAGAGAGTG